CTGCAGGGCACAGCTGGCCTCACCATGGGCTGCACCACAGTCTGCTGGGGGATCTGCTCTGGCACCTGGAGCACCTCCTCTCCCTCCTTCTCACTGGTGCCTCTCTCTTACTCTCTCCATCTGCAAGATCCAGTCTCTGGGGTGTGTTTTTCCCTCCCAGAGGCATTATGACTGTCACTGATGAGCTTGGCCTTTGCCAGCGGTGGGTCTGTCTTGGAGCCATCTGGCATTGGCCCTGTTGGACACGGGAGGGTTCTGGCTGGCTTCCACACGAAGCCTGTGGCCTCCCTGCTACCAAAACCTTGCCACACAAACACAATACAGCCATTCAGCTTTCACTGGTTTTTCTTATTACGAAAATTAAAACCTTTGCTTTCTTCAGATTGAAAAAAGCCAGAAGAAACAGTTTTTTTGGGTGGGGTTGTTTTTTGTTTGTTTTGGTTTTGGTTTTTTTTTACTGTGCTAAAAATAAGATGGGAAAAGAACAGAGAGATGAAATCAATTTTGCTGAATTTTATTTTTTTATAAAGCTTATTTAAAAATAGAGGGTTTTATAGTGAAACTTTCCTTTTTTAGAGAGTAAGACAAATATTGGGCAGCGCTTACAGTTTGACACTTGAGCATATTGTGAGTCTTGTCTCCCAATAGAAGTTTGCTAATCTTGTCTCTTTTTCAGGGGGAAAAAAAAAAATCCCATCTTATGATTATGTAAGTCTTGTCATAAAAGCATAATAACAGCTTCAGAAACATATTTGAAAGTTGAATAAAACCTGATTTTTTTTTTTTCTTTTTTGGTGGTTCATGATTGTGGTTTAGCTAATTCAGTGTAAAAAATGATGCTTAATACAGTCTGATAGAAGAATTGTTCCTGTTTTGTGCTGGCCAAGGATGTCCCCAGACAGTAGTTCGCTGCATGGACTTTCTCTGTTCAGCACGCAGCGAAGCCATCTGAAGTAATGTGAGGGTGGAAGCATCATGCCCTTTGGTCAGTCAGCGCTCTGGGCCTGTTGAAAAAAAGTCAGCGTGGTCTTGTCTAAAATGATAGCAGACCTCTGTATCCTGCTTTTCAATGAGAAGTATTTCTCTGTATTACTTCATGTCCCCAGCTAGATGTCTAAATTATTCATTCTTAATGATGACTCTCTAAAGAATGAGGAATTTGTTAAAATGAAGTAAGTAGTGGCCGTTCTGTCATGGACATGAGTTTTTGGGGTTATTTTTCCAACAACTCAGTGAAGCAAGACATGAAACTCAATTATGTAAAGAAAGAGACTGTGCTGCATTTTATGTGTGATATATGAACTATAATCAATATATCAAGAGCACCTCATTAGATATTCAAGATGGATCACACATGGAAAGAGAAATATACTTTTAACCTAGTAAGAAGACCTCATACAGGTGGAAAGTCTGTGATTCATGATCTGAGCTAGTTCTTCTGAGCTAATTAAATGCTACTGGTTCAATTACTTAAAATCTGATCATATATTATTGCTAGCTGAAAAGTTAATGATGGCAAGACATTTTTCTTCCCATGGAAAATGTGACCTGAGCTAAGAAATGATTTATTGTTGGTCATCACAAGAAAAACTCAGAATATGTCCCATTATTCTTTCTTGCTTATTAGTAGGAAAATTATTCCCCTTCAAATGCATTTCCTCAATGGAGAGTGAACTTTGGCATAGCTGTGGTGGAGGTGGGAAAATGTGTTCCACCAGCAACCAGGAGATGTCACTGCAGTTGCATGCCCTGAGGAGGGTGGGTTGGAGGTGGTTTCAGGGGTGACATGTAAAGGAGCTTTTGGGTAATTTGGTAACAATCAGTGGCTCAGATGAGCTCTATGTGAAGTTCTCCTTTCCCAAGGCTCTGTGCAGAGAGCTCTCCTGCCTTGGAGAGTTCTGTTCCGTCCAAGGGGGGGTAATCTTTTGCAGTTAGCAGGCGTTCGGGCATATGTTGGTCCTTAATTCCGTGTCATTTCCCTGAGGTATGGCTGGGAGTGAGAGGCGTGGTGCGTGGGTAAAAGCATGAGTGAACTCTAAAGCGCTTCCTAGAAAGTCTGATTTTGGAGTTTGGGAGGGGTGAGGGGTGGTTCTTCCGTTTCCTAAACATGCCCAACACCAACTGTGAAGAAACAATAGATTCTGGTTTATTGTCTTCAAATCTGGCTGCTCTGCTGTTCACGTTCAGCTGGGGGTAGGTGAGCCGTTGAGATGCCACGGTAAGACCAGCTACTGGTTTTTAGCACAGTCTCTTATTCATGGGGAGTTTGTAAAATGCGCTTTTAAAAGCACCATTTGTAGTGCATTATTGTGAGCAAGACAAAACTCAAAATCAGCCCTATGTGACTTTTTAAACGTACTGTAAGTGCCTAAAGTTACAAGCAGGCGTTTTGTGATGGGATCTTCTGAAATACCCATCTGTATTTCCAACCTTATAAATACAGATATGTATGTATTTTAAGTCTGGCTCGAGCTCCCCAGGAACATTCTGCTATATAAAATCTGTGCTTGAACTACTCTTGACAGAGATGTAAGTGTAGCGGTGAAATATTCATAGTGCGAACCCACATTAATTCAAGCTTTTTTGGCTCTGACGGAGTCTGGGATGTAGGTGCATTTTCATGTACAACTTCCCAAGCTGTAGAACTTTCCCATGCGGTCGTGTTTCTAAATGAAAAGCATTTCTTCTCTGAGAACAAAAGCAAGTTGGGTAAGTAGTAAGCATTTTTGTTCAAGAAAATGTCTACCTGCAAAATTTAATGGGAAAAGAATTCCCGGACACTGGAAGTGTTTGTGCCGGTTGGACTAAGGTTCCTGTTAAAGCGAACAAAGCCAGGCGTGCGTTGCAGTTCGTGCCCGCTCGCGGTGGCAAGTTTAAGCACCTCCTGGCAGGTGAAGTTTTGTCCCTCCCTTTGTCAGGCTGACAGTGTTTATTTCCATAATAACTGCTCATGCTGGCAAGGTGGAAGTATTGAGCACCTTCATCTTTCTTGCTGATGTTTCTCATCTTGTTACTTTTATTGTGCTTAGTATTAGTACCTTAAAATATCCAGGACCAGAGTCCAACCCAAGTGAGCCATCCTGTACCCCCCCTTTAGTAATGCATGAGCTGGTTAAACTTTGATTCTCTGCAGGGAGGGGGGATGTTCAGTGGAGCCATGGAGTTTGACCCATGTTCCGTGTCGTGTTTCCTAATAAGACACTTCATTATACAATTCTACAATCGCTGATGGCTTGCTTTGCCACTGGGCATGGTGTGCGTGTGTAATGGGCAGCTGGGCTAGGATTCCAGGACTTACTCCAGCCTTCAGGCTTAAATTGTCCCGCCTTTCTGTTAATTGGAATAACCATACTTTTAAATTGTATTTGGAATTAGACAAGCCCTGGGTGGAGGGAGTTCTAAGTGTTTCTTCTGCTTCATTTCAACAACAGTCAACAACTGGAACTGCACAGTAGCTTAGGCTCTCCTTAGACCTTTCTCAGAGGTTGTTACTAATGCATAGTGGTGGTGAAGGATGTCAAACATCCCATGTTTCCTTTCTGCATGTGAATGCAAGTTTCTCTGAGGGCTGATGCTTTAAGGACTTGGCTCTTTTCGTTTTCTTCTCAGGCTGGGAGAGCCTCTGCCTTCTACAATAATGCCTTGCTAATGAAACCTCAGAATGAGGCCTCTGGATTTGGTTGGTTCTGTTTGTTTTTAAACTGTGTTTCCACCTCAGTAAGATCTTTCAGTGTCCCCTGTCACCCCTTGCCTGGCCCTCAGTTCCCTGTCCCCATGCCAGTACGTGTGCACCCAGGCCATCATCTGCCCCCACAGCCTATCAGCAGCGAAGGGCCGGCGCGCATCACGGCCAGCCCAGCAGAGGAGATGACTGCTGGGCCTCCTCTTTGGTGATCGTCGTCTTCCTCAGCCTACGAGCTCCTTACCCGGGAACCTGTAGGAACTTAGCATCTCCAGCACAGCTGTCAAATTTATTCAATACTGGCGTCTTCAGTTCACGAGGTTTGTGGTGGGAAGGGTTGGC